GTTAATGAAAACTGCATACCCTTCTGCAGAGAAGGACATGCACACACAGCTTTGCACACAATTTCCAGGGGTCCACACCACCGCTCTACCCAACCCATTATCTGTGGCCATTAAGTCAAGTACACCTGATCATCCAGGGTGTCTCTAAGAGTCCTCCCGGCTCAGATGCAAAATCTTAGCAACATCTAAACACTCCAGGGATTAGCACCTGCTTAGTGGTAGCTGCCTCCACAGCATGGCAGCTGTGCTGGGGGTTGGACCTACAGGGCAGGATGGAGATTTTGGAAAAATATGTGGGAGGGTGACCCCACAGCGCTGGACCCTGCTTGACCCAAATGACTAGGGACCTTGGAAGGGAGTTCTTCTCTTCCCTGCTTCCTAACCCAGGGGTCCTCTTTCACCCCTTTTTCTTCCAGAAGAAACAGGCAGAACCCTGGCTGCCCCCTCCTCAGTGCAGGCAGCCCCATCACCAAAGGGCCCAGACTATTAATTACCCACCATCATGGTGATGTTTAGCCTTCAATTTCCCTGACGACCACAAGGATTAACTCAAACTGTGAGACTTCACTGGGCCATTTAAGGGAGCATCATAACTCTTTCTGTTCCCCAGAAATTGTAACCCGGACTCGGTTTTGTAATGCTAATTGCCTTATCTTCATAAATTCTACAGTCTTACATAATTTACCCGCATTGTAGCAGGATTTCCCAAGAATAAAAAAGCAGGTGCCGTCAATGGTAATTTGAATAAGAAAAGACATGTTAAGTGGTTCTTCTCTCACTAGTAATAGAAATTAATTAGCTTTGAGGGGCTTTGGAGGTTTTTGCATTTTTTTTTGCTGTAACCTGTTATGTTTTCTAATTGTATGGAAAGGAGGTTTGATTTGATCACATTATTTGGTGACGGAGAGGGCTCTGTTTGGAGTCAAAGGTACTGGAAGGGTGGCAGCCAGCAGTGTGGGGAGCCACTGGAGGCGTGCAGAGTGTGCGCTTCGCAGTCAGAGAAACATGATTTCTGAGCCAGGGTGAGCCACTTGGTAGCTCTGTGACCCTGAACAAATCACTTCAGCCTTCTCATCTGTAAGACAGGGGTCACCAACTCCAACTGCACGGGAGGAGGTATAGAGCTGAGCAGCTGGGAACATTAGCTCTGGAGCTGGACCGACTCAGCTTTGATCCAAGTCCACCATTTACTTTTTCTGTGACTTTTCCAGTTAGGATGGCTTTAACGTCAAGAAACATAAAATGCCACTTAAAGTGGCTTAAGCAATATGAAGATGTATTAGCTCACATGAGAACACTAGAGCTACTGCAGGCTGCAGGAGTAATACAACTGGTGGACCAATTTCATCAAAGATCAAGGTCTACTTTCTTCACTCAGCTCTATCCTAATGCTGATCCACCCCCTCTCCTGGCAAGGAATACAGGTTTCCTGGTTCACTTCTAGCAGAAGAGGGAGTGAGCCTCTCCATCTAACATGGGATGTAAAGCCTTCCCTTCAGTCTGACTGAGCCAATTAGTTTACCCCTGGGACACCCCTGGGACAATAATTGACTCCTGGAGAAGGCCATCAATGGAATGTTAGACTAATCAGGATTGACCTCTCTAGAGCTGGGATGGAGTCTGCTTCCCTTAAATCATGTGTCCACTGCCCAGTGTAGACACACTAGTGATAACTATAATGACCTTGGCAAGTTACTTATCCCCTCTAAGCTCAGTTTCTTTGTCTGTAAAATGGAGACAGTAAGAGCACCACCTCCTAAGGTTGTTGTGAGAATGTCTTCATACAGATCCGATGCATGGTAGGCTTTCCATGCGTTCTAGTTTCTTCTTGCTGTTTTCTTTTCCCCTTCCTTGAAATCCTTTCCTTGATTCCTTGAAAGAAATCCTCCAGCAAGTCATTCAAAGCAACTCTGTGCACGTTGGAAGGACTAAAATCAAAGGAGAGGAGAGAGGAGAAACAGTTACTTTGTTCTCCAGCGTAGCTCCTTTTCAACCATAAGAAAACTACAGGTAAGGGAATATGTTGCCAATGCTATAACTAAGGGAATATTACTATGATGAAAAAGAAGTGCAATGAAAGCAAGATGTGAATCATGTGGAAAATGTAGTCAAGGGTTGATCTGGGTATTTTACACACAATTAACATCACCACCTCCATCTCAGCTCGCTTCCCTTGGTTGGTTCCACTCTGAGGCCTCGCTCCAAGCCAGGTGACAAGCAGGTTCTATTGCTAAGGAAGAGACCAGGGTTTCTTCCACCGTTGATCAGAGTCATAGAGATGGAAGCTGAAAGGCAGCTCTCCGTTCAGCTGGTTGAAGCCCCTCACTGTATACCTTTCAAATACTTGAAGTCCAGTGATTATCAGGTGGGTAAAAATGCAAGACCAATCTATTTTCTGTCCACAAAAAAATAATGCATTTTAAACATAAAGACCCAGATAGGTTGAAAGGAAAAGGATGGGAAAAGATATACCATGCTATTTCTTATGCAAACAGTGAGCATATGAAAGCTGCTGTGGCTATATTAATGTCAGACAAATTAGACTTCAAGATAAGGAATAGTATCAGAGATAAAGAGGGATATTTCATAATGATAAAAGGATGAATTCATTAGAAAGACATGGGTATCCTAAATGTGTATGCATCTATTAATGGATTCTCAAAAGAAATGAAGTAAACATTGGCTAGCAAAGTTACACTCTCAGTAATTAACAGAACAACTAGATAAAAAAATCAGTAAGGATATAAAAAATTTGAATAACACAGTCAACTAGCTTTACCTAATTCACACTATAAGTATGAATTCTATAAGTATAGAACACTATACTTAACACCTGCAGAATATACATTCTCTTCAAGTGCATATAGAATGACCACCAAATAGGCCATATACTGGGCCATAAAATGTTTTTTGATAAATTTCAAAAGATTGAAAGCTTACACAGTGTGTTCTCTAACAACAGCGGACTTAAATTAAAAGTCAATAACACTGAGATTTTTGGAAAAGCTACAAATAATTGGAAATTAAACACTGCACTTCGTGTGTGTGTGTGTGTGTGTGTGTGTGTGTGTGTAAGTGCCTATATTGGAAAAGAAGGAAGATTTTTAAAATAAATGATCTATGCATAAGTTTCTGCCTTAAGCTAGAAAAAAAGAGAATATTAAATAATGAAGATAAGAATGGAAACAGAAATAGAAAAAATTGAAGAGGAAAGAAAATTAACAAAGTCAAATTTTATTTTTGGAAAGATTAATAAAATTGAAAAACCCCTAGCAACACTGATCGGAAAGAGATATTAAAAGTAAAGGGGGGGGCCGATCGAGTAGCTCATTTGGTTAAGAGCTCGCTCAAGGGTGTGAGCTCTGAGCAACAGGGTCACCAGTTTGATTCCCAGCCTGAGCTGAGCTGCCACTGAGCTGCCAACAGGTGGCAGGATGGCTCAGCTAAAAAAAAAAGTAAAGGGGGAGGGATGACACACTATCAGGAATAAAACCATTATCACTACAGATGGTATAGATATTAAAAGAAAAATAAAGCAGTATTTTGCAAATATATTTAGCAACTTAGATAAAATGGACAAATTCTTAAACACACAAATAGAAGTTATCAAAACTGACACAAGAAGAAATAGATAATTGAGATAGTTCTTTGTTTATCAAATAATTTGAATTTATAATTAAAAATAAAACCTTTCCATAAAGAAAACTTTAGATCCAGGTGATTCCCTGGTGAGGTCTAGTAAACATTTAAGGAATAAATAACACCAATCTTACACAAATTTTTCAGAAATAAAGGCTGGGACATGCCCATCTCATTTTCTAAAGCCAGAATAACCTTGATACCAAAACCAAACAATGATATTACAAGAAAAGAAAGCCATATACCAATATTTTTTTATGGATGTGGGTGTAAAAATCCTGAATAAAAATTAATAAATTGAATCTAGAAATATATAAAAAGGATGCTATATCATAGCCCAGAAGCACAAGGTTGATTTAACACCGTCAACCAACTTTACCTAATGTAATTCACCACATTATAAAAATAGAGGAGAAAAATAATCTTAGCAGATGCAGAAAAATTACTTGAGAAAGTCAGCACCCATTCAGCTCACAGAAAACTTCCTCAATCTGATAAAGGTCATCATAAACAATAGTAACAGTAACAACAACAAAAACCTACAATGAACATCATACTTACTGGGTGAAATCTTGAACAATTTCCATGTAATACTGGAAAGAAGGCAAGGATGTCTCCTGTCACCACTTCTAGGTAACATTGTAGTAGAGGTTTTAGACAATACAAGTAGGAAAATAAAGAAAGAAAGATTAGAAAAGAAGTAAAACTGTCGTTAGTCACTAATGATATAACTATTTATGTAGAAATTCTAAAAAGTAATTTTTTTTAATTACTCAAACTATTACATTAATTTAGCAAGATCACTAGTACACAGGTTAATAGACACAAATCCATTGTATTTCTACATACTGGGAGCAAACAATGAGAGCATTTCATTTATAATAGCATAAAAATATAAAATACTTAGGAATAAATTTATTAATGGATGTGCAAAATCTCTACATTGAAAACACAAAATATTAAATTGTAAAAATTAAAGAAGACCTAAACAAATGAAGAAATATATCATGTTTAAGGATTGGAAGTCTCAAAAACATGTTTAGCAAAAGAACCTTGGTAAAAATTAATCTCTGGTAGTAGAAATCAGTAGTTGCCTATAGTGGGTAGAGGTTGACTGGATGGGGAAAATGTGGGAACTTTTTAGTGATGGATATGTCCTATATCTTGATTAGGGTGGTGGTTACATGGGTATAGACATTTGTCAAAACTCATCAAATTATATCATTAGAATCTGTGCAGTTTGCTGTAAGTAAATTTTACCATAAAAAAGGGATGATCTGGTTATGGAAAATGAATTTGGAAAAGTATACCGTGAATCCTGAAAGAACAGTCAGGAGGCTATTCGGTAGACAGGTGAGAGATGATGGTGCTTGACACAGTGGCACAGTGGAGCTGAAGAGAAGTGAACAATGTTAAGAGATATTGAGGAGGTAATACTCGTATAGATGGGACTTAGCAATTGGAGGAAGATGATGTTGTTGGATTACTCTCAGACTTTTGGCCTCATTCATCGAGATGGAGAACCCAAAGGAGCACCAGTGTGTAAGATAAGATCCCAATACACAAGAGTCAACTTTTTAGGATGAAACTCTGACCGTATCCCTTTCCTGCTTACTCTCCCTTAGCAGGTCCTTCTACCCACAAAATACAGTCCAAGCCTCTTAAACACACGAGAGCCTATATGATCTGGACCCTGCTGACTTCCCCAGCCTCAGGCCCCCTAACTCTCCTTCCCTTCCTCCCTGGAACCCTGTGCTACATTCATTTCTAGACATACTGTGTCTTTTCATGCCCCTGTACGTCTGGGTTAGCTGAACCCCCTGCTTGGAAAACATTTCAGTTGGAGTGATGTATCAATCCTTTCTTTGGGAATCCCAGACTATTCAGTGCATGTCTTCGTACAGGGATCTTGCTGTAATTTCTGCTTTACACGTTTTTCTTTCTCAATAGATTGTGAGTGCCTTGAGGATAAGGCTATTTCTTATTTAACTCTGGTACTCCCTGAGCTTAGTTTCAATAAAGTTCAACGAATGGATAGATGGTGAAGGGTCAAGATTTCTGTCTTTGCACTTACCATTCATTCTGCAAGATCTTATTAAGGTCCAAATAAGTTCTTTGCAGAATAGGAGAAATGCTGAATCCTTTAGGTGATGGCAGATGACATGAGAAGTGGCATTTGACCAGAAAGACCCTGTGGGAGTGCTTTCACTGCAGTCATTCTCTGAGGCTCTTTAAAATGAAAGCAGTTACAGCTGCCCTCAAGAAAGCAAGACTGTCACGCAATGTGCTTGGGAGAAGGAGGATACCCCAAAACACAGAGCCTCTTTATAGCAATATCACTAATAAGGCGATGCTGAAATCAAGTTAATGAAGCCAGCTTTGTTAAGAGTGTTGGACACAAGGAAAATGTGAGCTAGAATATTTTCTTTCCTGAAGATCTTTAAGAGTAGAAGAAATTTTATCTTACTGAATGCTCTACACTCCGCTTCCCAAATGCAAATTACCTTCCTCTCTATCTTTACTGCTCCATCCTTGGTTCAAGCTCTTATCTCTTGCCTGAACTACTGCGATAGCCTGCCAGGTCTCCCCTCCCCAACACATCCTAGGCTCTGGCCACCACAGTGACCTTTCTCTAACTCAGGTCTGACATGTCACCTGTCCTAAAACTCCACCACTCTTGTATTTCTCCTATAGGAGAAAGCCCACACATTTTAACATGATTCAAAGGTCCTTCCTGTTGATGGCCCTGTCTCCCTTTGCAGCCTAACTTTCTGCATTGCTATAGTGGCCACGCTTTCTGATGGGAGATGTGTCAAAAAAGATGGAAAACTACCTTAGCTACCCTTCTTCCCCTGCCATTCTTTTTATTTTTTATTATTATTTTTTTAAAGATTTTATTGGGGAATTGGGGGAGGAGAATAGCGTTGGGGAACTGGGAACAGACAAGTTGCTGTCCTTTTGTTCTTCAATCTAGTTGTGGAGGGCATTGCTTCACTGGCCCATGTTGGTATTATCATTGCGCTCTTCCCGGATGAGGCAGTCACTCGCTGGCCACTGGACAGCCGCTCATGGCGGCTCTTGGCAGCTCAAGCTGGCTGCCAGCTGCTCACAGTAGCTCACAGGAGCCCCACTGCAGCCCACGCCGTCGCCGGCGACTCAAGGCAGCCCAGCTCCAAGTCGAGCTATTGTTCACCATCTTAGCTGTAGAGGGTGCAGCATCACTGGCCCTAATGTAGGATCTGAACCGGGGCCCTGCTGCTCAGAGCTGGCGCTCCCAAGCCAACTCTTAACCAACGCTCCCCTGCCATTCTTTTTAGATGTTGCATTCCTTTTTATTGGTGAGTAACAAATTACCACAAATGTAGCATCTTAAAACAACATACATGTATCATCTCACAGTTTCTGTGGGTCAGAAGTTCAGGCATGGGTTAGCTATGTTTTCTGCTTCAAGATCTCACCAGGTTGCAACCAAGGTGTTGGCTGGGCTGCATTTTCATCTGGAAGTTTGACTGGGGAAGAGTCCGTTTTGAGGCTTACTGAGGTTGCTGGCAGACTTCAGTTCCTTGAAACTACCAGACTGAGGCCCTCTGCTTTGCTAAGCCACCAGGAGCTCTTAACCACATGGGCCCCTCCACAGGCAGCTCATGACATGGGTGCTTGCTTCTTCAAAGCCAGAGGAAGAGAGAGTACTAGACTGCTAGCAAAATGGAGTCTTATCAACATGGTGTAACCAGAGGAGTGATACTCCAGCATCTTTGTCATTAATCTATTGGCTAGAAACAAGTCACAGGCCTCAACCACAGGACAGAAGATGGGGTTCATAGGGATAATCTTAGGGTCCAGCCACCAGATGTCTTGGACTTTCAAGCTGCTGAGCCTTGCTCATGCTGCTCCTTGTCTCTGATATGTCCTTCCCCTGATCTCCTGCTACTGGTATAGAGGAACAAGCATTGTACTTGAGTCACTCTGTGCTGGTTCCAGACCCACCTCCGGAGGATGTAAACTGGATGGGCAACCTCTGAGAAGACAGATGAAAAAGCTTCCATTCAAGTCTGCCTCTGTCACTCAACCTGTGAGACTCTTGGAAAGATACTGATCCTCTTCCAGCCTTAGTTGCCTCATCAGTAAAATGGAGAAAATGATGCAATCCACCTCCTAAGGATGAAATCCTCACCTGAGGATTTGGTGAGGTAACGTGTGTAAAATTCCTGGTGGGGTGCCTGGCATGCAGGAAGCCCTCAAGAAGAGTTTTGTCATACTGAAGATGATTCTTAGGTTTAGCTGCTCTGAGGCGTGTCCCATGTGAGTCCATGATGCCATGGGAGCTAAGGACATTGTTTCCAGGTAGGGGCTCCCGTCCTCTGCACAGATCCTACCCCTGTGTGGTTTGCAGAAATAACTTATCCCAGGCAGTGTCTTCCTCCTGCAGTCCCTCTCTACCCAGACAGGCCCTTCTCCAGCCTCAGCAGCAATCAGCACTGTGGACAGGGGCCAGGTCCTCAACAGGACCTCACCAGCCTTCAGATTTCCTCTTAGGGAAGAGAGAGCATCCAATGGGGCCCCAGGACTCACAGTTCCTGCCACAGCTATCAAAGCCAGGCTCCCTGGGGGCAGGAGGGGGGAGGGCATCATCCACCTTTTCCATGGCTGCCTCTGAGTACTTTGAATTTCATCAGAGCAATTATTTCAAATGGAATTAAAAGGGTTTAAAATTAGACCCTAAACTCTTAACAATTAGTGACGCAGCGACCTGCCATCCACAGAGCCACAATAGACCTGTGTCGATTCGAACGTGAGCACAATGCCAGTCTCCAGATTTGCATGCACTGTTACAATAAACGGCTTTTAATAAAATGAATATTCTTAATTACCGCCGCATTAATAAGTTGCAAATTAGTCATCATTAAAGGCCCCACAGTCCCTCTCCACCTCTCTGAGAGTCACTGGTGGGCTTCACCAGCTCAGCTGCTTCTGCAAAGTCCCGAGTTTTTCTGCAGCCTCTTAGGAGGTGGCCAGTTAGAGAATAAGCCCCGTATCAGCCTCAGGGCAGAGGTTGGAAGGCTGGGTTGGGTCTCTGGGATCCTTCTGGCTGCCCTAGCTGGAGGCTTCCAGTATTCTCTGGCCCTGAGCAGCACTATGGCAGCTTAGGACTCTAAAACACATTGTCCATTCATTTGTTTGTCAGGCACCAAATTGGGCATACTCACTAAGAAGGTATCCAGCATCTGCTTGAATCTCTCCAGGAGCTGGGGCAGCCTCTGCTAAAAGGTCTTCCTTATAAGAGGCTGAGATCTGCCTGAACCCGACATCTGCCGCTGGGCTCCACCCGCCCACATGTTCGAGGAAGTTCTGAGGAGCCCTGGGAGAGGGTCATCCTGGGCAACAGCACGAGACTTGCACATCTGGAATCTTCTCCCAAGTCCTTGTGGGAGACTGAGCCAGTCACCTGCCCTCTTGAACCTCAGTTTCCCCATCTGTATGGTGGAGACTTTGGTCTAGGCTAAGAGCCAGCACACTTTTTCTGTTAAGGGCCAGATAGTAAGTATTTTAGGCTTTGAGGGCCAAGTGGTCTCTGTCACAACAACACGACTCTGAATAACTGGCTGGGACCAAATTTGGCCCATGGGCTATAGTTAGATGACCGCTGGTCTGAGTGAATGACAAAAGCCTTGACAGCTCTTGTGTTCTGTGAATCTGTAAAAGGGCTGTCCCACTGGGAAGTCTGGGGGAAAAACTTTAAGCAGGCTTTCATGAAGGTCTTTTTAACCAAATTACAGGACACTTTGCTTGGAAGGTGATTTGTATAAATGTGACAGAGGGTATGTTTTTCTGGTCTATATCACACCCACCAACACACACACACACACACACACACACACACACACCACTGAAGGGGACTGCATGATGGCTTCATGAGATATCAGAGCCTAATCCTGTAATCCTGAGATGAGGCGGTTATGCTGGATTAACCGGATGGGCACTAAATGTCATCACAAGCATCCTTATAAGAGAGAGGCGGAGGAACGATAGACAGAAGAGGAGACGGCAATGTGAAGATGGAGACAGAGATTGGAGTGATGCAACCACAAGTACAGGGAGTGCCAGCAGCCACCAGAGGCTGGAAGAGGCGAAGGAACAGATTCTCTCCTAGGGCCTCTGGAGGAGTACAGCCCTGCCGACACCTTGATTTCAGTCCAGGGAAAATCATTTCATACTTCCGGCATCCAGAACTGTTAGAGAATAGATTTTTGTTGCTTTAAGTCACCAAGGTGTGGTCATTTGTTACAGCTGCAATGTAAAACTAATACGCACACCTTTTCTCCTACAGGGGCCACTGACACTTCTTATGCTTCTGTAGTATCTTTTGGCTACAAGCAGAAATAATAGTAATG